ATGGATGAATGTGTTGAGTTGGATGGATGGAATGCATAGATAGATAGATGTGGGAATGTGATGGGATGGATGGATGGCAGGGATGGATGGATGGAAGGAAGCAAGCAAGGAGGGAAGGAAGGAAGGAAGGAGGGAAGAAAAAGATGAAGGAAGCAATGGAGGGAGGGAGGAAGGAAGGGAGGAAGTAAAAAAGGGAGGGAGGGAGGGAGGGAGGGAGGGAGGGAGGGAGGAAGGAAGGAAGGAAGTAAACTCACCATATGTAGTTTGCTTTTTCTCATGCTTGGAGTTGGTGACCAAGAAGGTGGAGAAGACATCGATGGCTGCCACTGGTCTAAATTACTCTTCCCAACAGACTGATTTCCTTTTTCCTTTCTCTTACCTTTCTTCTGAGGTACTCCAGTGGATGTCTCTGGAAGACTTCCCTTGCTGCCACGCACTCGCACGGGAGAGTAAGCACTCTTCACGCCCTTTTTATTAGTCGTCTTCTTGGTTGGCTCGCGCTTCTTAGTGTCTACACTCTTGCGAGCTTTTGCTTTGGCCTTGATGCTGCGAAGACTATCTAAAGGGGGTGTGTCTTCATCCTCGGTATCATCATCACCGATTTTTCCTTTTTTCCCTTCTGTTTTGTCTATCATCGCAAGGATATTCGCCACAGGCTGTAAGTCTAAACCTCTTTTCTCTTCGGTAAAACTGTCCCTAGATTCGCGTGAGTCTAACGGGACGACACGAGAATCTAAGGGAATCCCTCGGGAATCTACCGCGAGTCCCGGCTCTGGTCCACTAGGGAGAGGTTCAGATGGTTTTAAACTAAATCCCCTGCAGTCCACGGGTAGCGAGGCAGAGTCGATACTATCGGAGGTGAGAGTGTTACCAGCGCTTCCAATGTTCGTTAGCAGCTGTCTTTTCTTCAACTCGTTTTCTGCCGGACTGCTGTCGGTGATGACTGACGGTCTTAAGCTGAAGCCTCGGGATTTTGTTTCTCCTGTTGATGATTTTTGTAGAAGGAGTTGGTCCTCGTGCTGTGATTCTAGAGGCTGAAGACCTTTATGTGTCACCATAAACAAAAACAAGAATGAGAAAATAAGTTTTCTCGTGACATCACAAAAGGAAGCATGGGTAGTGTGCGCAGCTAATGAATCGTTTCTCACCGTTGTGGTTTGAGGGAGCAGAGGACATACTGTATGTAGTGTGGAATGAGCAAGGGTAGGATGCAAGGCAAGGATGTAGGGTAGTATTGTACAGTCTGCATGTAGAGAGGACATACAGGATGGGTAACCATTAGGAAGGGCAGGGGTGAAGGATTGGGGAGGTGGAAGAGCAGGGGACCCTGGGTGTGAAGTGAGCAAGTGAGGTAAGGGTAAAGGTGGGTGTTTGTTACTGAGACTGCATGTAGAGGTAACATTCTAGGTGCAGCCTGGGGAGGGGTGAGCATAGGAATGGAACACATAGGGGAGGGGTGAGGACTGGAATGGAACACACAGGGGAAGGGTGAAGACAGGAATGGAACACACAGGGGAGGAGTGAAGACAGGAATGGAACACACAGGGGAGGGGTGATGACAGAAATTGAACACACAGGCAAGGGGTGAGGACAGGAATGGGATACAGAAGAAGGGTGCAGGCAGGGACTAGGCAAGTGTAAGAATAGCTGAAGTGTTCAGTAGTGCCCTACCTCTATCTTGTTGGCTTCTATCAGTGGCATTCATCTGCACTTGTTGTAGTGCTGCTTGTAGTTCAGCTATTGTGTCTGTTGTACCACTGTACAGGTTACCTGTACCTGTAGTCTTTAGTCCTGACCCACTAGCAGATGTACCTTCAAAAGCTAATGATTACAATACTCCATTTACACTTCCGTTCAGTGACCATGAAAAATAGTTCCAAGTCAAGGTTAGAGTTGCCGTTCATAGCAAAACTATACTTCTTATCATGTGCGGCAACTCCAACCTCGGTTTGGAACTATTATTCGTGGTCACCAAACAGAACTGTAAAATGGAGTACACAGTAAATACCATCATGACATGAAAAGTTCTGTACTAGACTCTATACATCATATTGTGTGCTTTCCAAGCCTAAATCTGAGAGCGAATTAGACAACCATGGCAATTAAGAAGTTTTTCCAAACATTCAATTGTCATGTCACAGACTTTTACAGGAGTACTTGAATATTAGCAAGACAAAAATCAAAGCTAAATCCTGAGCAACAGAGCATTCAAAACGTGGTTAGTTTTTCATACCTTTTGGTTTCTCCAGTTGCATTTTAGGTTGCTGCTTATTTCTGTCTAATGTTGAATCTAATGAATCCATTAAAGACACTGAAAAATATATTCAGAAAAAATATACCAGTTATTTATCACTGAAAACTAAGTTTCAAACTAAGATATAGACCCCTTGCATGTCGTGTCAAAGCAACGCAATTTGGAGGACAAAACAAAAGAATTTCAATCTCATGAGAATATTGGAAACCTATTGTTATGTCCTCCAAATAGCCCACTTCTGAGATATGCTTCGCTTGTCATGCACAAAGGTTTCAGTATGAGGCTACGTGCTAAATTAAATTTATTCTTACCGCCTGTCACAAATGACTGAGCATTTAGCACGTAGCCTCATACTGAAACCTTTGTGCATGACAAGCGAAGCATATCTCGAAAGTGTGCTATTGTCAGAGCTGCATTCAAAATCATATCCTTGGGAATGACACATGTCCAGTCTGCAATGACAAACATTTTCCTAGGGCTAAAAATGTTTATTTATTTATGACAATAATTAAAAATAGCATTAATTACTGACAGTATATTTAATATCAAAGCATTATCTAGTTTTCTAACCTTTTGATAATAAGCTTGGTTTATTTAGTCCTAATTGATCCAAAGCCTGAAAACAGAAATCAATGGTTTAAGATAAGTTATAATAATATTGGGATGTCAATGAAGAAGGACACTGTACTTGACAGTACAAGGGAACATACGAGGAATCCCCAAGAGATGCTGAAGACAGTCTTTCAGGGCAAGGGATACTCTTGGCAAATGCCAGATATCTGTTGGTATTTGTGCAGAAGTTGGCATGATCTGGCATGTTAGCATGAAAAAATAAAATACATCAAAGTTTCTTTAAATGTTTATAGAGGATAACACTTGACAGTAATTGACAACTGATAAACTTGTGGTCGTTTCTTAACGTCTAGTTGATTAGGGAAGGGACTGTAATTAACATGGTCATCCAAGACGCAAGAAGGTCTAACCAGATGTAATTACAAAGACAGCACCTTCTTCTCAGTGAGTGTTGGTCTGGCCGAGACTTGAGCCGTGACTTTCCACACAACAGAGCGATGCTCTTAGGCTAAGCTAACCAGGTGGTGGCATGGTATGGGTATTGTAGAAAACATTTGACATTTGATGTTAACATAGGTATGGGAATTTACCACCCCTTATATCAAGGTCAAAAATAAAAATTCATTGGAGCTTGTCCAGTCAAATATTTACTGCCACACCAGTTGTTTTGACACGTTGAGCCAGAAACAAGGTATTTCCAAGTCAAAACCATTTTGGCTGGTCCTCAAGACCAGCGACTGACTTCAGCTGTTAGTTTTAGCGCTGTATATACTGTTTGCTTACAGGTTGAGCTTGTTTGTTTGGCTCTTCTTTTCCATCGTGTTCTTCTTGATCATGGCTTTCTTCAAACTGATCACTATAATCATCCTCGTCATCAGCACCATCTTGTTGGTCTTCACTTTTGTCAACATCGGCTTCTTCGGAATGGTGATCTTTTAAGAAAAGAAAAAGAAAGTAATAAATTGTATTAGTAAGCTATCATTACCCAGGCGATTATAGAAAATAGAGCACAATGATTGGTCAAGAACTTTGGACTGCTTACTGATTATTCACTGAAGGCAAAGTGAATATTGGGGAGTATTAATTTTTACCAAGCTGTGAGTATCAGTCTGTTCACTGAGCCTGAGGTGAATAATTTTAGACTTGAATATCAGAGAAAAGTAATAATTTTAGACTTGAATATCAGAGAAAAGTCCAAATTCGGGATAAGAAAAGTTTTAGTATTATTTCTGCTTTAGCAAAATTTTGAAAACCTCATAATCACCGCTCCAGCAGTACTATAAATATCGGTCTCAGAATCACTGCTCGCTCAACCAATCACAGCACGCGAAACTCTATATATGAATTTAGGTCTAAAATTATACTCATTCTTAATAATGATCACCTAGGTGAATATTTGCCATTTTTAATATAACCTACCTGTTGCATTGAATATGGAGTCCCCCAACTCCACACCCGTTGCTTGTAACTTGTCATCTCTTTCTCTGAAGAGAATAAAAATATGTGAAATTTAAAATATTTTTAGAACCAAATAAAATGGCATAAGAAGGAGTAGGGATAGCTATAACTATGAATATGATGGATTAGGACAGAAGTAACTTATAATAAATTTAAATCCTTACTTTTCAGGACTATCAGTCGTGCTCAACCCTTCCAGCTCCTCTTTATAATCAAACTGTGAGCCATCCCTCATTTGTTCTTGGAAGAACTTCAACTTGTCTTCCTCTTCTTGAAGTGTGTCAGGCCCAGGGGGAGGAGCCTCAGAGGGCATCATATCATGACTGGGGGACACTGAACTGTTGCCTGTTTCTACATCATCTAACAAAAGTAATAACACATTAAAATGTCTATTACAGGATGACAAGCAAAATTATTACCATATGCATACTTCTATGCAAAGCTTGTTGCCAAACAAGCTTTTACATAATTGCCTTATTTAGGTAAAACCAGCATGTTTTATATGATATGTAGTAGTTAATGTTCATAAGCCTGTGCATAAAAAGATGCTCACAAAGACATTATCGCTGGTCATACTTTTGCATGTCCCACTGCAACCAGAAAGCTTTGCATCCTGTATAAACCAGCCAGCTTCTGTTGCACTTTAACCAGCATGCCTGGCATCATAAGTGTCAGTTTAATGTACAAAAGCCTACAGGTGCATAAAGAGTGTTCACTAATACAATATGTTTGGTCATACTTTTGCACGACATACTGTAATCGTTAGATAAACTTTGTTTACCAGCATACTGAAATAAGATCAAGAATCATGTATACATGCATATATCACAGAAGAATTTCTTACCACTGTTTTCATAAGTTCCTGTTTCTTCTTCACTCAGTGGTCTAAAATCGAAAGCAAAACTCAACTTACATGTTGACTTTTATGGAGGGAGGAAAAATGGAGAACATGCAAAGAGCAACACTGGTGTGCCCATGCACCAGGAGTGTGAGGGAGATTTTTCATTCATGCATAATCAGAAATCATTATTTTTGAGTGCAATGATAATATCGTGCCAAATAATTTTGGCAAGGATTAATGTAGGACATATATAAATGTCACTAATACTCTAGTTTCGATTTTGTTATCAAGGAACACTGCAGCATCTTAGAGAATTAAATAAGGTCTATAGAATGATAGCATTTTTATTGTATACTTTATATCTAGACTTATTGCTTACCTTTCTGGGATATCATCTTCCTTCTCAGGAATAAACTTTTCCTTTTGCAGACTTTTTCTTGCAACTATCAAAAGCACAAAGCAGAAACTTCTTCAACAATCTTCCCATCTATATCACCGGGCCCTCCTTCCAATTAGGAAAAAAGATACTGTAGCATGACAGAATATATCCCCACAGGGGTGGGCTTGTATGCCTACCTTCCTCCAGACTGTCTTTACTGATTGATACAGGTGAGCTATCACCATGGTTAGTGTCCTGTGATATCCCCACAGGGGTGGGCTGTGTTGCTTCTGTTTTCTGCATCTTTTAAGCAAAACCAAAACAGCTTTATTAGATATTTAGCAAGCCTAAACACATGGTCAGATGGGAAAATGGAGGTTGAAACCTTTAAGATCTTTGAACTTTTGCAATTCAAGTACAAAATAAAGATTGATTGATTGATTAATTAATAAACCTGAAGCGAGATGACGTTTTATCCCCGTCTCTAGACCATAATCCTTTTCACACCGCTTTTGTTCTTTAATTATGACTATTGTTCCTGTATTCTCTAAGGAATCAAAAATTTTAATATGAAAGAATTTTAAAAACTATTATGGTATAGAGTCGGGGGTAAAACGTCATCTCGCTTCAGGCTTATTGATTGATTAAAACCATGTCCAGGAATCAAGAAACTATATAAAAAGTTATAAAGGTAAGTGCATTTCCACTGCCTAACCATTGATTAATAATCGATTAATTTTTAAATTGACATGTGAGTTAAATGTCAAACTCTGCTCCTTCTCACCTCAGCACTATCTCCTTCTTGTAGTCCTTCATCATCGACATTCTCCTTGGGTTTAGGTTTGAGCCAACTTTGCCTTAGACTTTCTCTTTTCTTGTCCTCATCTTCATCTTCCTCTGCCCACCATGGTAAACTCCCGACATCACTGTCTTTGGATAACTTGGTCTTCAACGAAGGAGCTTTGTGTCTTGGGGATGCAAGAGACTCATCGGATAAAGACTGTAATATTCAAAAATAACAATAACTAGTAAACCACTAAGTCTCTGAAAAGCTTATTGTACAGATGTGTGCACTGTGCTGTAATCGTAACAGTGTATATCCAAGTATTTTGATTGGATAAGTAGTGAACATGTATGCTATAACTGACTGAAAGGTTACAGATGATGTCAAAACCATAGTGTTGTGATTGTGACAGACTGCTTTTAAAAACTGGTTAAAAAACTGGTTTAGGCTGTTCTTTACATGGGACTCTTGTCCTGTTGACCAGGCCCTCAATTAGATCTAAACATCTGGTTGTAAAGTTATTAAATAAATAAATAAATAAATAAACTAATTAAACCAAAATTTCATTTAACTCAAATATTAACTTGTTGTTCAAATAATAAACATCGCAAACTGCAAATCTTATAATCAGCTGTTGAGAAATAATCAAGCTACGATAGCTTGAGAATTGAAAACAGAAGGGGAAAATGCATAAAAGTTAAGAAATATTTGAATCTTAAGATATAATAAATATGACATAAATATTAAAATAATTATGACATACCTCGTTCAAGAATTTTTCAAATTCTGCATCCAAGTCAATATTTTTCCCCTGGAATTTCGAACGAAGGGAATCCCAACGCTCAGTCATGCCCCAAACGTCTGGCAATGAAGATGTTCATCCAATATGATTATCTTTTTTGAGGATTTTTTGTGTGTTTACATCAAACATCAAATCACCCGCCATTTTGAAACGCGCCTAATAATACCACAGGGAGCCCAATATTAGACTATTTCTGCTCACATCGATATCATTAAATGAAGATTTTGGAAATGCAATCAAGATCTAATATTAAAAATAAAATTGTAGTATAAAACCTCACAATTGAAATTCTTTAAATTCTGTAAATAATAATGCCTGTTTTGTTTTACAAAATGATAAAAATAAAGAATGAACAAAGCAAAGCGTAGCTTCGGGCTCCCTGTGGTTTTTTGTTTTGTTTTTTGATTATCTTCGCTTTCTCAAAATTTCTTTTAAAACTTGAGCTTATTCATTCATTTTTCAGTATTTCTAATAGATTTTCTTCCGTAACTTTAGGTATCTTTAGAAGTCTGGACAATTTTTTAGTTACTAGTATTTTGTTGTTGACCGCTGAGTGACAATTCGTTGACTCACAAAGAAACCAATACAAGCAAATATTGGTAAGGTACTTCATGGAGTTGTGTTTTTAAAATTGTGTCTAATGTTTGATAGGGTGATACATAAATATTTAAACTACATGAAGTGTTATGCTTAGGTCYGTGTCGCCGAATCAAAAAGTAACAAGTTTTCAATTCAAATGCTGTTGAACTTCGACCAAGATTGAACAAAATCATTAAGAAAGTCAAGAAAGATAATAATGACAAGAAACAGCTAGACTTATCAGCACTTTTTATCATAGGTAAGTCAAATAAAGTCTGCTACATCAAAAAAGGCCAAAAATATTTCTCAGGTAAGTTAGAAAAAAAACTCTTGTATTTTATGGTATTTAAGAACTTTCTAGTCATTGTAGTTCTGACCGGTAGTTCTAGAAGAACGAGTGAAAAATTGGTTTGATGGTTTGAACTAACCCCCAACTATTTTGTACTCTACAACTGTAGGAGTACAAAATAGTGTTTAGCGCTAGAGCGCAAACAATTAATCCGTGAAACACTAATTACTAAATAGTACAAAATAGTGCTAATTAAACAATAGAAAACAATGGAACTTGCATGAAATTGTGCTATTCTTCGTTTGCAATAGACGTCATAGCTGCCATGTTGGAAGAATTTGACAAAAGATTTTTAAATGAATTCTTTTGTTATATTATCCTCCAACATGGCAGACATCCCTTTTGTTATTGTGCTCTCTTGGGATTGATTGCAAACCAAGAATTTACAATTACTAAAGTTTCACGGTTATATTGTTTGCACTCTATTGTTTGCACTCTAGTATGGTTTTTCAAGATTTAATGGCATAACTAAGAATGGTAGAAAAACCAACCTTCTCTTTCAAGGTCCTAGTGACGGGCCTGTATATTCTTGTCGTACATAAACTTGGTTCCAAATTGATATGTTGGAAGTATGCCTGAGTTTCAAATAATTATATTGGGGGGAGCAGTGGGGGTGGAAAATCAAGAGATTAATACCCTCCAAATAGTCTCCGCAATTTTTTTCTTCTTTTGTTATGACAGATTATATGAGGAGAATTATGTGAGTCAGACTTATAACTTACCTAGTTATATCATTCTATAACATTTGATGGCTGATGGCGCAGACTCAGAAGAAGCCTCGCACCAAGATCAAGAGGAGATAGCCTATGCTGAGGGAGGTTGGGGATGGGTGGTCTGTGCTGCAGCATTCATGGTTGCGTTTGTAGTTTTTGGGATCCACTCTTCTTTTGGTGTTATTTACTCAAATCTTGTAGAGGAAATGAAGTTGGATGAAGCTGAAACAGGTAGAGATATGTACAGAATGATAGATATCTTTCAAAATGAATTACAAAACCATATTTTTTATTTAAAAAGATTTTTAGACAGACCATCGGGCAACTGTAGTTCATTCATAACTGTCATCGATATTTGGCATACTTTTTTATGAATGTAGAGTATAATATTTTTTTATTACATTTATTTCAGCATGGATAGGCTCATTGGCAGGCAGCCTCAACTTCCTTGGGGGACCTGCTGCAAGCTTTCTCTGTAACCGTTATGGCTGTCGCCCTGTTGCTTTCATTGGTGGCTTTCTAGCAATCCTTGGTCTCTTCTTGACCTCTTTTGTACAAAAAACAGCTAAAATGTATGTCACATATGGACTGCTATGGGGGGTAGGTTCAAGTTTTTGTTTCATACCCTCCGTGGTGGTGTTAGGCCAATATTTTCATCGCCGTTTTCCTCTAGCTAATGGTATTGCGTCTTCTGGTTCAGGCATTGGGGGACTCTTGGCAGCACCATTTATCAATTTTATACTTTCCACTTTAGGATGGCAAAATTCAATGAGAATATTAGYGTGTTTTGCAGTGCTACTGTTGCTTTCTTCTTTGTTTTATCGACCAGTCAAAAGACAAGTCAATTTGAGGGCAGTTTCTAATGAAAGATTAAATGAGGCAACTAGTTTGGCTTTGCCTTCTGTTTGGAGATGCAAGTCTTATATAGTTCTCGTTGTTGCAGTGGCATTGTTCCAGTTTTGTTACCCTGTTCAATTCATGCATTTAGTAAGTACCACATATTTTTTCTCTTTAGCGCATTCTTTAACATGGTAGATTCAGGAGAGGGTCATTGCATCCCTATCCATCCCACTATCATTTTATCAACTTCACCCATCTAACTTTTAGTCCATCCATTTATTAAATCTATCCATTCTTCCATCCATCCAACCATATTGTATCTATTCCATTTCCATCCATCTGTCCATCCACCAATCCATGTTTGCTCCCCCACCCAGACTTGTACCCAGTTATCACTTGTGGAGGCTTTTCAGAAGGAGAGAGAAAAAGCTTCACTTTTCTCTTCCTTACTTCTCTTGATGCACCGTGAACTCACTAAATCCTTCCCATTAATCACAGCGTGAGATCAATAAGACAAGAGAAGTGACTGCGTACGAGTTTGTTGCACACCCGCTCGCTCGCTTAGCCTCCCATCGCTTGCCAGCCAATCCATCCATCCATCCCTCCCTCCCTCCCTCCCTCCCTCCATCCATCCATCCATCCATCTTATTATATATTCATACACTCATATCTTTGTTTAATACTGACAATAAACATCACCCAAATATTACCTGTCATTTCCACAGGTTCAGTTTTCCAAGACTAAAGGTATTCCCCAATCCCGTGGATCATGGCTTCTGGGAATTCTATCCATCACTGCAACAGCCAGCAAGATTATTTTTGGGAAGGTTTCTGAGCTACAGTGCATCAATAGACTCTATCTATTCCAGCTTGCAATCTTCGCAATGGGTCTAGCAGTAGCCTTGTGTCCTCTTGCTACTAGTTATGCTGGAGTCCTTTGCTTTTCTATCGTTTATGGCTTGTTTGATGGTTGTTTTGTAGGACAGTTGAATGTTGTGGTGTCTGATATTGTCGGGCATGAGAGGTTATCGCAAGCTGCTGGGAATATGTATGGGTCTATTGCTGTGCCTATGAGTTTAGGGCCTCCTGTTGCAGGTGAGTGATGCCTTCACCTTTTTATGGAACAACCAAAGGGCATTGCTATTTCAAATATTGGACCTCTGGACTGATCTAATTCAGGGCATGGCTAATTCACAGCTAGAGAGAACCCTGAAACAACCTCTGGGCTGATCAAAGTCAGGGCACGGCTAACTCACAGATCAAACCCTGAAACAACCTCTGGACTGATCTAAGTCAGGGCACGGCTAACTCACAGATGGCCTAAAAACAACTTCTGGGCTGGCAAAGTCAGGGCATGGCTAACTCACAGATAGAACCCTGAAACAACCTCTGTGCTGATCTAAGTCAGGGAACGGCTAACTCACAGATTGAACCCTGAAACAACCTCAGTGTGCTTATCTAAGTCAAGGCACTGCTTACTCCAAGTTTGAATTGAAAATTATCGAGTTGGGTTTTGAGGAGGGGGAAAGCAGAGAAGCCGTAGAAATACCCCTGAATCGAGGGAGAGACATAACAAACTCTAGTCTCTAAAGAGGTGAGAGGCAAGTACACTACCGGTACGCCATTCTTGAAGAAATAGAAAACGTGCGCGCGTGCTGTGTGCAGTTATAAAGCACGCAGATGTTGGTGCAAGTGTGAAGAAGTGCTAGGAGAAGCACGACGCTTAGCGGAAACTTCTCGAGTGATCTGCCAATCCCCAAGTGCTTTATACCTCCACACAGCACAGCAAGTTTTTTATTTCTTTTATAAATTACAAATTACAAGAATAACGAAACTGAAGTACGCGAGCGTGCTGTGGGCTCTCATAAAGAGAGATTTTATTAAGATGGTTTCGTTTTTCTCTGACGTGGCCACAAATTAAATTTACTCTTATTTATTGTTGTTTTTTTCAGCCTGGTTGTACAAGGCATTTGATTCTTACGATGGAGCATTCTTCGTAGCAGGAGGAGCTGCAATACTGACTTCTCTGATTCTTTTCTTAATTCCGTTTTTGTCACGTAAAGAAAGGCTACAAAATGTCACTAGACGCGAAACATTACCTATCGGAACGAGACTGGTTAGTGACGTAAAATCACAAAGTGAAACTCACTCGAGGTATTTAAAGAGTGGTGCCAAGATAAGGACGATAACCCTCAAAGAAACAAGAAACGGTACAGAAAATCACGAAGCAGTTAATCGGAGATTTGATGATTTATCGTTGATTGCAAACGCTGATTTATCAGAGAGGGAGACTGTACTATAGGCAAGGCTTGAGTACGGGAACAAAAATATCCATTTTATTATATTTTAAATTTTAACAAACAAATCCCAGTTAAACTGAGAAAATTTAAGTTCGCGATACTGGAGAGCAGTGTTTTGCCTTGTTTCAACCATGGTGTGGATGTGCAGGAATGCCGGGTGGACCGGGTGGTCCAGGGGGACCTGGAGGTCCAGGGTATCCAATACTTCCTGGGCATCCTGGGCGTCCTTGACATCCCGGTGCGCCATGATATCCTGGTAATCCTGGTGGTCCCGGAGGGCCTGGAGGCAACCGACGACCCGGTAAACCCGGGGGACCGGGTGGTCCACAATTACCTGGCATACCACATGGTCCTTGGGGTCCTGGGGCTCCCTTGTATCCGTGGGGTCCTTGTTGTCCAGGGGGTCCAATGATTGGTGGTAGATATGGCGCTGGTGGGGGAGGCGGTGGTGGTGGTGGATGATGATGGTGACAACATTGTCGTTTACTGCCACCTTAAATAAATAACCAATAATATAAAATTAAATTAAAGTCGCTTATTACTAAGTACTTTTGTGTTTGAATGGTTAGCTTATTGAGGAAAATGGGATGAAGACCTCCCTGGCTTAATGGAGCTATGTTAATGGGGATCACCATACTCCCCTACTTCCCTGTGGATGAGTTGAATTTACACTTCCGATTGACGTCGGAGATGTATCCCTCATAGTCTGACAAGGTAAGACTTGGCGGTTTATGGTAAGAAAGAAAGGAAATCGTAAACAAAAATTAATTCCTGGTACACCAAAAAAGTTGTTAAATTCGGACCTGCTGGCTACGGCTCTCTGACCAAAGCTTGTACCATTTCTTCAAACAAAAAATATTTGTGCAATTACGCCAATGAGAGCACTGCAAACACGTAATGTTTTTATAAATAAATAAATTAAGTATGTAATCAAAACCCGGATTGTTTTGATTCGAACCAACAGGTGAGAAATGGCAAAACGGATCAACTCTATTTGTTAATAACCTCATAATTTCAAATTCAATCAACAAAGGTTAAATTCAGTTAAATTTGGAAGAAAAAAAACGACATACGGATAAATTGCTCTTAAATGGCTTTCGCATCGTTTTTGGCGGCCAATCACAAAGTGATTTTTCAAGCCATTTTAGTGTCACATAAATGCGTGCGTTTAATTTTCCATATTATAATATAATATAAACTCTAGAAAAGTTTATTTTTATCATTATTAAGTATTTTTTACGTAGCAAAAGAAAATTATAAAGAAATATAAGGTAAAATAATTACGTCTTATTTTGTGGAGTTCTTTAGAGAAGGTTATCATTTTTTACGCAGGAAAAAAACGCTTAGTAAAGAATAAGTTTAATTTTAGGAATCATTTTTTCTTGGAGTTCTTTTTAGAGAATTAAGGTTATACTTCGAGAAAAACAAGATTGAGACTGGCATTAGTTGACTTACCTTTGTGATCAACAGACTTCCCGTGCACTGCTACAACAACCACGACAAAAGTGGCGATAAGTAGTTGGAAATTCATTCTGAATGAAAACATTAAATTAAGAGTTAAAATCTGACTTTCTCCATGATCAATTGAGGCGGATAGCGTTAGGAGTCGGGAGTCTTAGCAGCAATTTTCAAAAAAAATTCGCCTATTAAGTAAAGGTGACTGACGTTTCCAGAAGAAAAAAAAGGAAAATAGTAAAAACCAAAAAAGAACTATTTAAAAAAACTTATAAAAAGTGATGAGAGAGAAATTAATTTTGAAATAAGAAAAATTAAGCTGCGTACTTACCTCAGTGCTCGCGTGCTCCTCTCCAAAGGCGACACCAATAAATGACTCAAAATTTATAGGTTAAAGGTATGTATTTTTAGATTGGAGTGCTATGAGTTGATTAAAACATGTCAAAACAAATTTACGATACAATGACTGCATCTAAATTGATTAAATAAGAATACCGGTTTGACCTGTAAAACTGATTTGGACTCCTGCAAAACAAGTTATTCCAGTTCAGTTGCAAGGCCTGGACATTAGGGGGGACCAAATTGTCGTATAATGTCATTGTGCGATTGCAGTTTGGCTAGAGATGTCGTTTGGCTATTTTTAAAAGTAGGGGGAGGGGCCGGACCCTTGGTACTCGGCCTGTATTTATTGGTATTTCAAACATTGGTAGCTGGTTCTTACAAAAGCTTTCATTTTTCCTATGAGAATAAATGAGAAAAATTCCAATATTCCTTACAATACTCTTAAAAAGCAATATAGTTTTAATCCAGTTCAGGATGTTTTAAATGTATAATGGGGAAAACTGCTGACGTCGCTTTTTTCTGAAAGTTTGGGAGCCCTGTGTTTCGGTAGCTTGTCTTCGTCTGTGACAGTTGAAGAACGTGTGGTAAACGTTTTGCAAAAATACATCTTTTTTCTCTTCTTAATCAAGGTAAAAGTCTCATAAATGAATACAAAGGTAGAATATATGTAAATTTGTGAATATCTTGTTGGATTTCGCCTCGAAAGAGTATTGCGTTCAGGCACAATTAACACATTTCTAATAACTAAGAAGTTCATCTTTCTTGTTTTCCTTTTTGGGGGGCAAATATTTGCAATTGCTTTATGCGAGTGTCCGTACCTAAGCTTGCAGTTTATCTAAATACAAAGTCAAGCAAGCATGCACGGTCCGTCATGTGCTATCAACCAGAGAGTATTCTATTGCTTGGTACCAATCAGCTGAATGAATCTCACTAGCCTACAATGACAGGCAAACACTGCCAATCATGTGCTATCAACCAGAGAGTATTCTATTGCTTGGTATCAATCAGCTGAATGAATCTTATGAATCTCATTACCAGCCTACAATGACAGGCAAACACTGCCCGTCATGTGCTATCAACCAGAGAGTATTCTATTGCTTGGTATCAATCAGCTGAATGAATCTCATGAATCTCATTACCAGCCTACAATGACAGGCAAACACTGTCCAACATATAAGTATTATATATCAATCAAAGTGTATTCTTAAATTTTCATATCAAGAATTAGGTATATTATACCTAATTCTTGATATGAAAATTTAAGAATTACACTATATATTGATATCAACTCTTGCAGATACACAGAAGAACACAATGGCAGGATTAGAAGAAAGAGATGAGGAACGTTTGCTAGAGGAAGAATATGAGGAAGAAATAGAACGCTATGCCTTAGGTATTTTTCTCCAAAGCAACATCCAGTAAAGTTGGGGTGGGGGGTGGGGGGGCGGAGGAGGCAAACTTAATATTTTCCCTTTTCCATTCTCTTAAATGCCCTTTTTTCTGCTAAGGCAGAGCAGCTTAATTTTATATTTTGACAAATAAAAGAATTGTCTCCTAAGAGTTTGGAATTGAGAAACATTACTCCCTTAGAATAAGGGCCTATTTGATTAAAAGTAGAGTAAAATAAAATAGAATTATACTGCCTTTATACCAAAAAGTTTTTGTTTAATGTGTTATTCTCTGCTTTGCCAAGGGAGTTTTTCTATGGGTTTTTCCCCTCTCTCCATGAAATTAACATGTGAGTGGACATGTGAGTTACATGTTAGTTAACATGGATTTGATTAAGCCGAACAAAAAAAAGTGTATTTCCTGTTGCATGAGAAAAATAATTGGGGTCAGTAGGTCAGATTTTTTTTACTGATACAACAGTGGAAATGAGCTTACTGGGAGCCCTGTGGTGCATTTGGGTATGAAAAAAATATTAGGGTCGGCAAAAATTGACAAGAAAATTAGGGTCAGTCGCACAACAGGAAACACACTTATTTTTTTGTTTGGCATTATATGGTTGTATAGAATATTTAAGAAAGGTAATTTATCCATCTACCATTGATTAATTGATTTTAGAAAACTCATTAATAATTCATGAAGAAAACACAATAGAAATCATGACTATGAAGGAGGATTTATATCTGATATAGATTCGTCTTCATTTGCATAAACTTTAACTTGGATTTTCTCTATCAAACTTGGTTCATTTCGTAAAGTATTCTGTACAATATGAGAACATACATCATGAGTTTTCTAAGCCGTTTAATAAACTCGCAGATCGTGTCTTATCGGGTCTAAAACCACTCGGCTGTGCCTACATAATTCATTAATCATTAGACTATTACTTAATAATATTATACATCTGGATAGTTGATTATAATTTGTTTCCTCTACATTCGCAGAAAGTATCCAAGATTGATTCTTTGAGCCCTGGAATGATAGCGACCTCATCCTAGTGGTTGAACAAAAAAAAATACATGTTCATCGTTTGATTCTGACAATTGCCTCGCCTGTGTTTAAACAAATGTTAAATGGAGATTTTGTTGAAAAGCATTTGAAAGAGATTCCCCTTCCTGGGAAAATTGCCTATCAATTTATACGGTTTCTTAGACAGATTTATCCTCAGTATCAAGATGATCTTAATGGTAGGTATCAACTTCATAACACATTAGAGGGGGGGGGGGGGTACTATGATGCTATGATGGGGCTGCCATCATGAAGCCTAAAGGAATTGGCCAGTGAAAAATAAAAACCTGTTCAATATAAATTTACAATAACAATATATAACTCATTAGAGTTATACCGTAAATCCTCTATTTAGCCCCCCGGGGGGCTTACTTATTTCAGGCACGTTTGAGGGAGGGCTTATTGGAGAGGGGGGGCTTAATTGAGAGGGGGGGCTTATTGATTTAGTTGAAACGCAGTATGTAATATGATTGTAACTCAAGATTAAATGGAAGCATTACTATTGACCGTCTCGCATAATCTGTAGTGATGTACATAGCATTTTTATTATTTGATTCACCTGTGTTAGTCTCTCAAGTATAATTTGTGATTCTTGTGAATAGCAAAACTAAAACACAGTAACATTAACAAAGCAAGCTAAAAAGAAATGTACTGAACAACCAAGACTTTAATGAATCACCTTTAATCAGTACACGTGATTCTTTAGTTGTGAAAGGGGGAGAGGGGCTAAAGAGAGAGGGGGGGGGGGCTTAACAAATTTCTTGCTTTAAAAAGGGGGGCTTATTAGAGAGGGGGGGC